ATATATATATATATATATATATATATATATATATATATATATATATATACACACAGGGTTGGGATTTGGGAAGATTAATACATTAATAAAATGTATTTTGTTACAGATTACAAAATACATGCTTTAAAAAGTATTTTCTAACTTAATTTTAGTAATATAATCTAAATACTTTGGATTACTTAAAGGCACAATATGTACGATTTTTTTTATTAAAATATCCGAAAACCACTAGAACAGTGTTATATATTTTGCTGACTTGTGTAATTACATTATCCCAAATGTTTCGAAGAATGTTTAAATCCAGAGAATTTTAACTACTGACACGGACCGTGTCCATAGTGTCATTGTGTCGCCTGCCAATGACGTCATACAACCTCGATTTCCGGTTTTGTTTTGTAGAAAACATGAAAACACCAAAGACGCTTTAATATGTTGTGTGTTTTAATAGACCGGTGACGACCACACAGAGTAGCATTATAACAGAACTTTCAAATGTATCTAGTATGATAAAACGGCGCTGCTTTTTTTATGTGGCGCTGCCACATACGCACGACCGGAAGGAGCGGAAGCGGTCGACTGTGGCATAATAAAAGCTCCGCTGCTTTCGAGCCGTGTGTCGCGCTCGTTCAGTGGCCTCGTTTCGCTTCGACGGCTTTCAGCCTCAACCTGCTTCATTCTACTACGTTAATAAATCATTAGCTCATCCATAAACATGATTTCTGCCTGAGTCCCATCAGATTGCATTGGCTGTGGGGATGAAGACAACAACTCCCATGATTCCACACTCAGTCACAGCGTCATCAAACTTTGTAACAAAGAGTTACAACAAAGAGTATTTTAAATAAGCGCCCTCTAGTGGCGAAAATTACATATTGTGCCTTTAAGGTAAGGGGCATATTAACTTTGATGTCTTGTTTTTATGTTAACCACTTCTAAATAAAAATGGGTAGCGTGAATGCATTTAAAACAAAATTTTGAACATAGAAATATAGAAAATGATGGGAGGAAAATATTTTTTAAAATAAGAAACAAACTAAATCACTGTCTTAATGAAAGAATCATGGAATCATTCGATTAGTTCAAAATTAATCAAAATGAGGAATTAAGTGATTTAATGAATGGAATTGAATCATTCTCTCAGCTGATTCGTTCAAAACGTGGCTTCATTCAGAAACAAAATGTTGCTTGCAGACACGCAACTCTTCTAATGTGGATTTATTTTGAAGGCAGTGGCTAGTTGCATTAAGTGCAAATAGCAATAGATGCTATTTACAGTAAGTGTAAACGCAATAAATGAAACGCATTTGTCCGTGTTTCACTCCGTCTTGAATCGCGCTCGCGGAAAGCGCTTGAGAAACAGTGTCTCTTCCGCGGCTCGGTACGCTTTCAACTTAGTTTTTAGTCTCGAACAAGGCTGTACGACATTCACATTACATAATTTGACTGATTTTTACATAGAAAGGGCGACAGCACACCGTATTAAAATAAATTATCATTCATGTTTTCATAACCGCTGTCCAAATCCAAAGGGGTCCCTTGCACCATCCCCCTGGTGTTTCGGGGGCCCTACGCAGCTTGCGTATTTTGTGTATAGGGAGGATCGGCTCTGATTTTAGTGAGTCGTTGTCACTAGTATGCACTCTGCAGGCCAGGTTGCTATTTGAACAGGCTGCATGAGAGTCAGAGTCAGAGAATCAACAGCTCTAATCCAATCCAATCCAACTTTATTTATAAAGCACATAATAAAACAACAAAGTTGACCACAGTAATGTATAAAGAAATCTAATAAAAATAATAATAATTAATAATCATTAAAGAACAATAATACACACCGTTCAAGACTAACCCAGACGGATTAGTCTTGCCTTAGGTCATAATGATCTCTTTGACTCATGAACATGAATAAGATCAGTAATGTAAGGAGGGGCTGTACCATGCAAAGATTTAAAAACAAAGATTAAAATCTTAAAATTAATTCTATAAGGCACTGGTAACCAATGCAATGTTCTCAAGACAGGTAATATGGTCATATTTCCGAGTACCTGTCAGTAATCTTGCTGCTGCATTCTGAACCATCTGTAATCTGTCCAAAATTACAATAATCTAATTGAGAGAAAATAAAGCCTTAATCTTAGCAATCATTCTTAGTTGATAAAAACTTTAGTTAACTTTTAAAGCACTGTCACAGATCCCCCTCTCCCCCAATTTTTTACTTGATGTTTCCTAAAAAGGTTCAATGTACCCAGGTTTAATCTAGCCGTATCACTCATTTCAGTGACCAAATATAGTCACCTCTGTTTTCGATTCATTAAGACTCAAAAAGTTTTCAGCCATCCATTACTTTACCTGCCCCAAGGCACTGGAAGAGTTTGGGTTAAAAGACAAATATAATTGAGTATCATCGGTGTAAAAATGAAATGACACACCAAATTTACCCAAAATAAATCCTAACGGTAGTATATTAAGAGAAAAGAAAAAGGATGCTAAGATTGGACCTTGGGGGATACCACGTGATAGGGGTGCCGAGGCCGATGCATACTCTCCCATGCGGACCAAGACACTCCTATTTTGGAAGTATGACTTTATCCATCTTAGGGCATTTCCACAAATACCCACACGTTTCAAGACGGGATATAAGAATATGATGGTCAATTGTGTCAAACGCTGCCATCAGATCTAGGAATAGAAGTACAGTGAAATTACCATGGTCGGTCGCAAGAAAAATATAATTAAACACTATCATCAAAGCTGATTCCGTACTGTCACAAAATAATAATCTTTAAAAAAGCATCATATGACCCCTTTAAAACCTGATTGAAACACTTCACAGATCTCATTTGCATCAATAAATGACTTAAGTTGTATGAGGATGCTCTCCTCCATAATTTTAGCAAAGAATGGAAGTTTAGCTAAAATTAGCTAACACACTCTTATACAAAGTTTGATTTCTTCAAAAGGGGTTGAACCACTGTGTGTTTACAGTAGTCAGACACAACCCCCGAACTCTTATTAATTATAGACACTATAAATGGGCCAACTGATTCGAAAACTTGCTTTAATAAATGTGTCAGAACCCTATCTTGAGGAGAAGTTGTAGACTTTACAATAAGGATTGAAAGAGAGATCGGCTCAAAATCAGAGAAAGTAACACCAGATACAGATTGCTGAACAACAGCATACGAACAGTGACTAATGTTATTATGTACATTTGATATCCGATTTATGAAAAAATAAAAAAAGCAGTCACATAATTCAACAGACAGGTCTCCTACCACCTCTAATCTGGGATTAATAAAGGAATCTATCGTCGATGAATTGAACCCAAAGATTATGACAATTTTTCTCAATAAGATCTGCAAAGTGCCTCGATCTAGCAGTTCTTACAGCCCTTTGGAATTTAGACAGAGAATCTCTTAGTATTTCATAAGAAATCTGTAACTTATCTTTTTTCCATTTTCGTTCCCATCTTCTACATACCCGTCTTAAGGAACAAATATACTCATTAAACCACAGGACTGATTTATGCTTTTTATTTACCTGCTTCAAAGGAGCAACAATATTGAATGTTTTAGAACAAATTGAGTAAAAACATGAACAGATTCCTCCACACCAAGATGAGGTGAAAAAAAGTCTAATTCTAAGCACTGCAGTATTTTTTGAGTGTTTGAATTAATTGGCCGCACCCAGCTCTTTGCATGGCAGACTCTCTTTTGCTGATAAGGAAAGGAGACAGTAAAAAGAATGGGATTATGATCAGCTAATACAAAGTCATCTATGGTAATGTCTCTGACTGGTAGACCAAGAGACAGAATCAGATCCAATGTGTGACCATGAGAGTGAGTAGAGCCATTAAAGGGGTCATATGATGCTGCTAAAAATAACATTATTTTGTGTATTTGGTGTAATGAAATGTGTTTATGCGGTTTAAAGTAAAAAAACACATTATTTTCCACATACTGTACATTATTGTTTCTCCTCTATGCCCCGCCTTTTTGAAACGCGTCGATTTTTACAAAGATCATCGGTCTGAAAAAGCGAGGTGTGCTGTGATTGGCTAGCTATCCAGTGCGTTGTGATTGGCCGAATACCTCAAGGGTGAGACGGAAATGTTACGCCCCTCACCATACTGTTGATGCCGTGTCCCGGCCGGAGCAATGAGACAAAAACATTAAAACCCATTTCAAACGAGGCATTTGTTGCATCCAGTGGGGACATAATTACTGATTAGAATGACTTATACTGTCTTTTTACGCGTTGCGTTGCATTGCATCACGCCGCGTAAACATAAAACCCTGTCTGCATTTGTGATCAGAGAAATTACAAACAACAAGCGCTACTCCACACTGCCCAAAACTCACATTGAATCATCAGTGGCAAATCCTTTAAATGAAAACGTACTTACGTGAGTCAGAACTGCCGGCATTTTAGTCTAGCGTTGCTCTCCCAGGATCAGTAAACAGTCCTCCATAAAATGCGCTGCACACATCTGGATATTTTGGTTAAACTGTTGTCCTCTTTTGGAAGACCAAACAAAGTAGTTTCGCGTTCACAACGAAAAACACAGCGGCCTAGCAGAAGCCCCGGCTTAGCGTGAGCTGAGGCCAGGCTAGAGTGAGCTGAGGCCGGGCTAGAGTGAGCATAGGCGGCGGGGTCGAGAACGGCGCAGCCGGCGGATCCGACGAAGGAGCGGCAAGCACATGTGATGACCCTGGGCTTCATCCACGGTGAAAGCCGATCCGGCGATCCACAGCACTAAGTTGATGTATTCCCTCAGCGACCAGCACGGATCAGCTCTAGGCATGACGAAGCAGATATCGTCCTCTTTTGGAAGACCAAACAAAGTAGTTTCGCTTTCACAACGAAGCACACAGCGTCTTCAGAACACGGCGGAAAGCAGCAACAATACTACAGTGAGAATAAAAGTTAAGCCTTCTTTCTTTGCGTGAACATTTGAGCGGTGTTATGCAAATCTTCCCACATAGTGAGGTAGACATGTGGGGGCGTGTTAGAACGAGCCGTTTTAGGTAGGTGTGGCTGACTCTTAACTTTTATAAAGAATATCGCTTTGGATTTGAGACTTTAGTCTTTGCAACTTTACAGATCTTCTTTATGCACCAAGAGCTTGTAACACTTCAAAGAGAAAGGAAAAATTGAAATCGCATCATATGACCCCTTTAACCATTTGCTGAGAGCCTAGAGAGTCTATAAGATTATAAAAAAATCTGATTTAGACAAAGAACTTGATGGACAACAGACATGAATATTAAAATCCCCCAGCACTAAAACTTTGTCATATTTCAGTAACACATACCCTAAAAAGGAAGACAACTCTGAAATAAAATCCTTATTTGGTCTAGGTGGCCGATAAATAAAAGCACAGAGCACAGGGCTCAGCATCTGTATTTCAAAGGCTTGAAGTTCAAAGCTCGGAAAACGTTCAGCAAGGGGGGGTCAAGACTCGCGTTGCAACCATGTAGGGATATTAAGGGGGGGATGCGGTCTCAGAACGATCTCCTCGTTCTTCTGTAACATACTTCTCATAAGAGATTTGAATGTTTAAAAGTGTACGACGATCGTAGATCAGTGCAGATGTAGAGTCACGTATTAACCAAGTCACAAATAAAACAAACAACGTGATACTAAACAGACTGTGTAACAAAGGCAGACGGCAGGCCATCGGCATCCTTCTTGAAAAATCCAGTTGCCTCATTGGTTACAATTTCCAATTATTTTACATTATTATATTAAATAAATTACATTAAAATCAAAGTAATCACTTTGGTCATCTAAAACACTTTTAACAATGTAACTGTTATTTGACTACCACCCCTTTAAAATGTAACTATAATGAAACACAGTTACTCATATTTTGTATTTTAAATAAAATGTTACATGTATTTCGTTACTCTCCAACCCTGATTATAAAGTATTAAAAGCTAATATATATATATATATATATATATATAAAAAATACAAAAATTGCGGTAGTTTGAAAGTAACCTCCCCAGCACTGAGAAATGCAAAATAATTGTTAGTAGTTTAATCAGATGTTGAACTGACCTCCCATTACACAACTGTGATTTAATGAACAGTGATGTACACTATACTTTTACCTTCCACCAGCAAGTAGAACCCACGTTCATTTTTTCTGAGGATCTTAATGGCCACATCTACCATTTCAGTGAGGGAAGGGTCAGTTTCTTTGTTTCTCTCAAGCTCATAGGGCAGGTCTGCCGGCTCAAACAGACCTGCAGTGCAAATAAAACAAGAAAACAATGTAAACAGAACAAGCAAAACAACATCATAAACGAGGTCACTTAATCAATTCTTATAAAACTCACCCAAAAGATAATCCACATTATTTGGATTCAGGGAAAGGAGATCCTTCCTGTTCCAAGCATAGTAACTTTTCTGATTACACAAAAGTTAAGAAAGAAACAAAGAAACTGTTTAGAGAAATGATCGTACCCTCTTATCTAGATGCTTTATAGAACGTATTACACTGCTATGATCCAATATCTTGCAACCAAATCTCTGTAATACGGTCTCACAACAAGTACAAATTGTCTTCATTGGTTATTAAGCTGTGTAGCTGTAAAGCCTGCTTTAGGGGCCTCAAGAGCATCAGATTAAATTCAGAGAAGTCAATAAACAGGGCATCATTAAAAGAGCACAAATACACCACCAGAATCAGGCAAACACAGAGAGAAAATGAAAAAGAGATTTGTCAGCAGAGGCATAGCGTGGAAGCTTTTTTCCCCTGAACTGAACATGACATTGTGTAAATGAAAAGATGGAATGAAGTTCCCTGTTTTCCCCTTGTTTCATGTTTCACCTTATCCTTCACTCTGTCAATCCACTCCCCCACAAGGTTCCTGCCATCTTTGCGTGTACCGTTGTGTTTCTTGTCTCCTGGGTATTCCACATCTGGTGTGTTTCTGGGGTACATATTTCTCCGCCCACCCCCCATTATCACCTGCCCATCCAAACCAAGAAGAAAAGAGAACACACACACATTTACTGTACACAGTGCTGTCAAATGTTTTTTTTCTAATTTACACCAAATCCATTTAAGATTTTGAAAATGTAAAACAAATAAACATTATGATGTACAGTGAAGTAGAAATATTTAAAAAATCTGCACTATTTATAACTCTAACTGCTATGCTGATTAATATAATTTGTAATTAATATTTAAAATATTTGTAAATATTTATTATATTCATATGAACAATAATATTAATAATAGTAGTTATGATTCTTATTATTTAATATTTAAATATTTATTATTATTGTTATAATACTTAAATAAAATTTAAATATATTAAATACAATTTTAAATATTAACTAAATATTTTATCAATATTATTATTAATAACAACAAAGTATTGTATAATTTATTTAATAATATTTTTATTTGATCAATATTATTAATACTACTACTAATAATAATAATACATTCTTATTATTATTTGTTGTTGTTGATACAATAATTTGTCATCAATATTTTAAATATATATTTTTAATTTTATTATTATTCAATTATATAAAACATTAATAATATTAATAATAATAGCAAGTTGTTATTATTATTAATTCATATTTTAAATTATGCATTTTTTTCCATTTAATAAATTAGTATAGGTAAAAAGTGAATATACAGTACATATTATATTTAGCTATAATAATAATAATAATAATAATTAAATATTTTACTATAAATGCAAAACAGAAGCATTTTAACTAGTGATCTCAGAATTGTAGTCCTCACTGTATCCTATTATATTAACATATACCTTGGTAGTATAAAACTAGGCAAACAAACACAATATTAACAGAACCATATATTGAATGACCCAGCACAACACTATATAAAACCAATTTTTTAAATAGGAAAATAATCATTAAAAAAACTCACATCAATGTCAGGGATATTTTCAAAGAGTTGTCTGGCAATGTCTTTGCATCCGCTCTGCAGTGCTTCAGTGGGCATGTCCCCGTCTGAATACCAGTCCCGGTCTACACAGTGGGCATATGCTGCACTCGGAGTGGCATGGTTCACTCGTGTTGTTGTGACGATTCCCACTGATTTGCCTGGGGAAAATACAGGTAGTTGCAACTGTTAATTGTTCCTGTAGGGGCATGTCCATGATTACCACTATATCTATATTCAACTGGATTACGTATTTTTCCCTCATCTATCTAGTAATTCAATTATAAATATTTAATCAACAGACTGACTAGGCATAAACCAACTGAAAATTGCACTGCATCAGCTTTGCAATGCTGTACTGGATAAGGAAAGCGCTTGATTGTAAGTCTGGCTAAAGTCACACAGTTGTATGGTACACTATTTTAATGCTTTCTCTGGACACAAGCACCCAAGTGAGAAAGCATTTTTACCTTTACTCAGATGAGGTCAGGTTATCAGTTTGACACTGATTGGACCATCCTCCTTTTAAACCTCTCAGCTGGATTTAAAATGTTTATTCTGGTCATGTCGTACAAATTCCACTCGGCTACTTTCATTCACCTCTACCTTCGGCGGAGGACTTCCGTCTTATAAAATGCTTAATTTGTTTTTATTTTCAACATGAGAATAAAATATGAGCAAGCCATCTGCGTGTTGCGCTCATCAGTCAAACTGTCGCTCTTCTCATTTATTCCTTTACTTCAGAATGTTTTTTCGACTTTCTTCAATCCTTTATCTGCTCAATCTGCTTTATGTGCCAGTGTCACCTTTGTTTCTCTCATGCAAAAACAAGCTAATGGATTGCTATCAAAAAAATAAGCCTAGAAACAAATATCCCATCTATATTCTAATTGTAATAGAAGTCGGGGGCAGAAAGGCATTATAGCTGCTGTGTGGGAGGATTCAACAGGGCATCTTACCTGCGTCTTTGGCCCATTTTAGAATGGAGGTGACCTCGTTCCCCTGAGTGGTGTTGCACTGGGATCTTACAGCTGCTGCGCTCACTCCAACTGTACCCTCGTTGGCTTTGACACCGCACAGATATGCCGTGGCAGTGCCCGCACTGTCTGGTACCTGAGCATTGGTGTTATATGTCTGGGAGAAAAAAACGTGCACAATTTTAATAACTGCAGGGATTGTTTACAAGAGCAAAATTAAAGTGTACTTAGTGCACTTAGTGTAGCTAAATAATTGTTCATTCGGCAATTTTCAGCATTTAGCGTGACTATAAACAATGATTTTTATAATGAGTCCAATAGTCTGAGACCATTTATATATATATATATATATTTTTTTTTCATTTAATAAAAAATAGTCAAAACCCTGTAAAACTTGACATATGAAATAATATTCAGAAAAAAATTCAGAAATGGAACAGTATTTAGACAAAATATGTAAAGGTCTCTATTTGTGTTTGTGTTTGAGAATCATATTAGATACATCTGGCTTTTATGGCTCTTATAGTATGATATACAGTGGTGTGAAAATGTTTTTGCCCCCTTCCTGTTTTTTTACAGGAAATATTGTTTGCATATTTGTCACACTTATCAATTATGGCAAGTCGTCCAGGTCCTGAAGCTGCAAAGCAGCCCCAGATCATCACACTACCACCACCATGTTTGACTGTTGGTATGATGTTCTTTTTATGAAATGCTTTGGTTTACGCCAGATGTAAAAGGGACACACACCTTGCAAAAAGTTAAATTTTTGTCTCATCAGTCCATAGAATATTTGGCTGCAGTTCTTTAGATGTTGTTCTGGGTTCTTTTATGACCTCCTGGATGAGTCGTCGTTGTGCTCTTGGAGTAATTTTGGTCAGATGGCCACTCCTGGGAAGGTTCACCACTGTTCCAAGTTTTCTCCATTTGTGGATAATGGCTCTAACCGTGGTTCGCTGGAGTCCCAAAGCCTTAGAAATGGCTTCATAACCCTTTCCAGACTGATACATGTCAACTGTTTTGATTCTCATCTGTTCTTGAATTTCTTTAGATCACGGCATGATGTGTTGTTCTTTAAGCATGCTTCACTTTGTCAGACAGGTTCTATTTAAGTGATTTCTTGATTCAACAGGTCTGGCAGTAATCAGGCCTGCGTGTGGCTAGTGAAATTTAACTCAGCTTTCTAAAATTATGTGGTTAATCACAGTTCTTTCATGATTTAAGAGGAGGGGCAATTAATTTTTCACATAGGGCCAGGTAGGTTTGGACAGCTTTTTTCCCTTAATAAATGAAATTATCATTTAAAAACTGCATATTGTATTTACTTGCATTATCTTTGCGTAATATTAAAATTGGTTTGATTATCTGAATCTTTTACATGTGACAAATATGCAAAAATTTAACAAAACAGGAAGGGGGCAAAAACCTTTTCACGGCACTGTAGGAGAATATGGAGCTCATACACAAGGAGGAAAAAAATCTAAATTTGAAATATTAAAAATACAAAAATATGAAATTTGGTGCAGCTGCTGACATTTATATATGGCCAAAATATAAGATGCACATCTTAGCTTGCAAAGTAAATCAATGAGATCTTTATAGCAGTATAGCTACATAAAATGCATATACATAAGTTGTTACTCTATATCCCGCAATAATATGTCTTAGTAAGATGAAAGTTTTTAGAATTATACTAAAAGGCCTTTTACTTGCTGATACCACATAAAATATCAATCGGATGTCAAAAGGCATGTAGTAGATTGTGTACAACAGTTTTTTTTCAGCAATTTCAATCATGTTAGTAATATAGAGGCCTTAGAAATGTGTAGATACAATTATGATAGAGTAGGCTCTATAGGGTTAAGTGAAAAGTTTACATGAAGCCAAAAAGAAAACAGCTGAATAAATCTAGGAGATAATAATTGACTATCTTTCACAGATGTTATTTTAATAATAGCTAACATCTGTGAAATATTTACGTGAGAATCATCATCCCAGAACTGTGCCCGCTGGAGAAATTAAACTATGGTTCTCTGTGGTCCGGGTGAGCGACTGCATGGCTTATGAACACAAAGGAATGGTATGATAGGATTTCAGCACGTGGGATGTACCTTAGAGAGGGCAACGTAGGGAAATTTGTCCATCTCTAGTTGTGTTTCCTCACCGCTCTGTCCACTCATTTGACCCTTTAGAATCCGTGCTGCTGTGACCGTGGGTACACCCATGCCTACACACAACAAAGGTTGGATCATTCACACAGTCTATTTTTAACTACATACATATCCTTCAAGCACCTTCTATCACGAACAACAGTCTTCCTGTACCTCAGGACATCAAAGGCCAAAAGCCATTTTCAAATGAAATCTTGAATTTTGTCCATAATTGTGAGATGAAAGGACCCCTTGTCACTTAATGACCTGCTATACTTAAAAGCATGAGGCAAATTAGCGTACACTTAAAAATCTCAAGCTTGCAGAACTGTACAAAATTGTATGCTCAGAATTTTTTTTTCAAAAAGCACAATCACATTGAAAAGAGTTCACAAAGTCTGTCTTTAAGCCTTAAGCTTAAAATAAATCATGAAATATTACACAGTGTTTCAAAATGTAATTATTGTAATGTAATTATGTGAAATGAGGGGGGCTTTAGCTGCAACTATGACTTGAAATTGTACTTTAACATATAAAAATGAGCAATTAAAGCAATTAAAATGCGATCTTCATTTGAACAATATCGACTTTTAAAACCCCAAGACTGGTCTTGCCAACATTTTCCACAGTGAACTAGCAAATTAAGTTATATTTTACCCGTGCTTGCAGTCCAAACATGAGATGAAAAGACTGTACAACAAAATAATGGCAAAAAACTTTGAGTTGTGTAGTCTGGTCTAACAAACAAATGAGTCTTTAATCTGGTTATTTATTTAGTTAATCAAATACATTCAGTGTGGTTCGACTCACGAACAAGTGACTCTTACACCAGTTCTTTTAAAGGAGACATATTATGTCCCTTTTTACAATATGTAATATAAGTCTCTGGTGTCCCCAGAATGTGTCTGTGAAGTTTCAGCTCAAAATACTCCACAGATGATTTATTATATCATTTTGAAAATGCCTATTTTGAGTGGAAGCAGAAACACGCTGTTTTTTGGGCCTGTCTCTTTAAATGCAAATGAGCTGCTGCTCCCCGCCCCCTTTTCCAGAATAGAGCTGCGCCATTACAGCTCGGGCCTGCTAAAAAACATCTGTTATGGTTCTGATTATCATGTTTATCGCGCTGAAATCATGCGTTTTAAACCATATGAGTTTCAACTTCTGATATACGGTTTTCTGAGAGCACACATCCGAAGCACACGGACAGAAAGCGGCTGTCACAGCATGTGAGTACTAAACTAAGTTCTCATTCACACACAAGTTTACGTTAAAAACACACGAGTTACAAAAACAGTCGGTTATGTCTGCGAAGGTAAACTGCTGGGAAATAAATCGCATGTTTATTTTAGATGTAAATATTGTTCTGTGCTAGTCTGTGCAGACAAAGACAGAACAGTTAGCATTGTTTTGCTCAAACTTCCACCATGGCATTAGAGCTGGTACACCGTTGTCGCTTGCGAAAACACAATCACGGTGCCGTGGGTGGAAACTTACAGATTAAGGAGCACTAATATTATAATGAGATCCCTTTGCAGTGAATTCGAATTCATGATCAAAGGACTCTCATGAGACGGTCCTTTTAAAGTATTGTACAAAACAATTCAGGAATTATCGTTTGATGGACCACTGAACCCAGTCCTTGAATGAACTCACTGAATCTGTCCGAGTGGTTACTTAATCAACATCAAATTATCATGGCTTTGAGTGACGTAATATTTTAATAAAATAGGTTATAAGTCTTTTTTCTGAACTTGGTTGGTTGACCGCCAAGAAAATCATTGGAAACATTACAATTTCAATCATCTTAATGCATGAATCAACAGGTCAACTGATCCAAATCTTCTTCTATCTGTATTTCAACCATGGCTTTTAGATATGTGATATATGGCTTCTGGATATTCCTTTATGTGAAATCACCCTTTTTGTGGCTGGTATGTGGTTTATGTCATAGTGGACAATGAGAACTGCAATACATCTACATAAATCTTAACTGAGGTTTCATTAGATATCTTTTTTAGGTTTTTGTAAACTGGTGTTTTTATGCCACCACTGCTTTCACAGGGGTGTGGTGTAAAATAATCCAAATTCTTCCCGTAAACTTGGATGAGTTTTATCATAGTTCTTTGTTTTCTGCTAAGAATATTCAGACTACCCCTTCCTTCTTTCCTTCCTTGCTTTTATTGCCAAGGCTTATTTTGATAACCATTGTTTTTTTTTTTCTCAAATTTGGCCAGCTTGCATAGATTGTGCAAGCTGGAGTTCATCCTGACGTTGGCTGTGTGGTTAATTTGTTTACTGCTCCTTAACTTGGTCTCCAACACTGCCCATGTTAATGCTTAATTTTAAAGCAGGTTCATACACTGTGACAGAGCTTTTAAAAATATTTAACTCTTTATGTTGTACCTATGTTATAGCTGGTATTGCACAAACCGTTTTCAAGGCTTGGTTGAACAAAAAAAGTGCATAGATATTATTTGAATGAACATATTTCAACATGCTATAACCACACAAATATCTCATGATAAGATCCACCAATTTCAAGACTTACCATCACCAAGAAAAAGGATGATGTTCTTGGCAACATTCTTGTTGAGGTCTTGGAGGGTCAAAGCATTTTTTAGTGTGCGCTGAGCCCATTCCTTCCAGAAATCAGGATCCTTCTCTGGTTCTACAAGCCGTAAGAAAACATGTTTACATGTTTGCCCACAAATTATAACACATCTAACAAAGATGCGCCTGCAAAACAAGATAATGATCATGGCCTTAGACTGGAAGTCTCCATTTAGAGATTATGAGTATGCTATCTCTCTCTAAACCAAACTGAAATTAATTTAACAAATCCTTGACAAGAACAACAACTCAATTTCTATTTTATGCATGTCTTCTTCATTCCACGTAAGCTTCTTAAAACCCACAATCACGTAAATGAACATATCTGTGACCATCTGACCCGAAGGTCCAATCTTCTAATGGAAGCTAATGTACATTTGAAATGTGTTTTATTCTGTCTATACTTGGGCCAAGGTCAAAAAGAAGACTATTAAACTTCAGTGATCTGAGATGGTGTTACACCATTTATGAAGCACTCATCTGACACCATATAACTCTCTATAAATCAAAGACACTGCAAGCAAATGACAAGGCAGGGGCGCTCATTCCTGTTACAACAGAGCTACTTTCCAGCAGAGTTTAGTTCCAACCCTGCTCCAGCATTAATGTTTGTTATTATCCAGAAGTCTTCCTGAAGATCTTGATTTGCTGGTTCACAAGTATTTGGTTAAGGGCTGGACGTAAACTCAGCAAGAAGGTAGATCTTCAGGAACAGGATTTAGTACCTCTACTATAAAGAGAGTAAAGAGACAATACGCTCATCGCTGCAAAGAAAAAAAGTGTCCTTCATTGTCCTATCTAATAAAGTCAAAAGGCCAATAAACCAAAAGAAAGCTGACTAAAAACTGTCTTAACTGACCTGGAAATTCAGGCTTTGCCATTCCTCCCCAAACCAGGCAACCGAGGATAAAGAGTGCAGCGACCTTCATGTTGTCATCTATCAACCGCCGTTTTGCAGAACAACTCGCGTTCCAAAGATGTCAGAAGACTCCAAGATCTGCAATGAAAACAGTAATTGTCAATGTTAAAATATTTCTTCTATTCCCAATTTATTGTTCAGAGATAACTATAAGTAAGCCATTCATATGCTGATTTGAACTCTGTGTGACAGTGGCACTTCAATCTATTTGTTTGAACGGTCGAACATAATAATGTTAGCTCAACCAATGGCTTGAATTTGGGGCAGGGCAACATTTCTTCAGGTATTTTTCATTTGAAAACAATCATTATTGTTGCTGTTACGTGTGGTGCCACTACAGTTGAGCAGAAATGACACGCTTCACCTTTAAGCACGGAAAACAACTATTTACCATCCCAAGGCTTATTTTTCCATCATAATCTTATATGCATGAGCAAAAACAACTGAAATATGAGTTTCAGCTAGGGATGCATGTCATAAAAACTGATACAAACAATAATTTAGTGGCATATTTGCACATTCATTTGTTTAACTACCTAAAAGTTCACACCTGAAAACGTAATATGGGTGCATTAGTATTAAACCTTTCTGTCTTCTCTTTAGTCAAGGTCACTTTAATGGGATTGGAAGCCAACAACCAACCACTAATGCAAGTATTAAAGGCTTTTATTTCCTGTGTCAGACCTGAACCAGTGAGCAGTTTTTCCTTATTAGTTCTGCTACAGAGACACTTTTACCATGACTTGAGGCTCATTCACAAGCTCTGTCAAAAACGCAGTGGGGCTCCAACAGGCAGAACTCTTGAAGCTAGTCTGCAGGTGAAGAAACACAGCAGTGCCAAAACACAAAGGAGCAGCAAACCAGAGAACAAAGTTGTCAACAAAACGGAAACTCCTTCTTGATTCATGGCATCAGAATGTAGAGATGTCCTTCTTTTGGAAGAAAACACACAACCAAAACAGAAACAACAGGTAACCAGCTATCTTCGTTTTCGACACGCTGTCTTGAACTACAACTGCGAATGAGCTGTTCTCTCAATGTGCTCAGGAGGATGAGGATTAGGGTTATTACTGATGGAGTAATCTTCCTTCACATCTTCATTTTATGAAAAGAGACTTTCATTATTTTTAGTTCAAATAAAATATTCAGACCTGTCAGATCAATGCCTTCTGTAGGACGTGCAATTTCATGTCTGCTCTGCAGTGCCAGCCTGTTTTTGCGCAACAAATCAGTTATGTTGTTTTGTCAGGACCTGTTATGTTTTTTTTATGCTAGTAAACCACTGAAAGCATAAATCTATCGCTCTATTAAACATGAACAATAGATCACATCATATAACAGGATTTACATTAAACTCCTACTAACGTCCTAGAGGCCATTAGATCACAGAGCATCAAACACTGACATAAGGATTGTATTAGGTTGTACATCTTGCTAAACACAACACTAATTTCTTCTCTTCCTTGTCAGTCTTTGACGCGTGTTCACGAGAGTACCATGACGCATGCGTGTGGTGCTGCTGACGCAGGAGCCGGCGTTCTGACATAGAACCCGGATGCACTGCACCTTGTTTACAAGCCGAGGAATGCACACGCATGCGTCGTGGTACTCTTGTGAGCGCATGTTGAAGACTGACATGGAGGAGAAAATTTTTTTGAATAAAGTCTTTATTTTTGTTTTCTTTGAAAAAGTATTCTCGTAGCTTCATAAAATTAAGGTTGAACCACTGATACTATTTTAACAATGGACTATTTTAACAACGTCCTTACTACCTTTCTGGGCTTTGAACGTGTCAGTTGCGTTGTTGTCTATGCAGGGTCAGCATTAGAAAACTCTCGGATTTCATCAAAAATATCTTAATTTGTGTTTTGAAGATGAACGAAGGTCTTACAGGTTTGGAACGATATGGGGGTGAGAAATTAATGACAGAATTTTAATTTTTGGGTGAAATATCGCTTTAAGAACGAGCACACATTTTAAAGAAGATGTTCTCAAGTTCATTTAAACCTTTCTGGGCTTTTGAATCATGCTAATGTTACATCTACAGCTACATTAGTATCAATGCATACAAATCAGTTGGGCACATAATCAAAAAAACAGCTCACAAACACGTTATGTCTCTTTTTTGTTGTCTTTTTTCGCTATCACATATTTTAGTAATCATAAATTATATATCATATATAAAGCTTAGAAACTCAAGATTCATCCTATGAAAACCATTTTGAAATCAGACACCATGCGTTACCATGAAAATGGTACTTTAATCCTCCCCTTAGTGAATGGTGTCAAGTGTCATATTACAAAATGTATTATGGTATTTTATAATCAAAAATGTTTTAATCTTGACAAAATACATATCGTCAGAAAGGTCTGAGTCTCAAGATTCCATATTTTGTGATAGAAGTAATATTGAGAGAGAAATGTATACCTCTGTGACAGAAAAATGTATAAAAAAAATTCAATGGAGTTTGGGTGTCACCCGGTAGCTGTTTTTGGTATAACACCCTAAATAAAATCTCACAGGGACATTTTTTTTATCAACTTCAAATTTGGAACATAACTTATTTAGATATAAGCCTTTAATTTTTTTTTTTTTTTTAGCAATTTTGGATTAAAACATTTTGTAAAATATTTATTTTATATAGAATTTTACAAAATGAGTACAGTGCATTTTCTTTACAGTAAATTTAAACTTCTATAACTTTTTCTAACAATAATCCGCTGAATGTCTTCTTTAAAAAGAGACCAACCTTAGGTCTGTATTCTAAAGCGTTCTTGAATTATTCGATTTTAAGTTTGGATAGTGCACTTTCACGTCTACAGTATGTTCGAAAATGGGGTCTGACAGTTAAGGGGTTAAGGGAAAAAAAGAAAGTGTCTTAACTTGTTCTGGTATAGTCTGCAGTCATGAATATGAGAAAGCAGAAACAGAAAGAGTGAGGCACAAGGCTGGAAGGCACAAGGAGTCTCACAGAATGTCATAGCCTGGTCTCAACAGTTTGATCCCTCATCCAAACATTCTGAAGAAATGCTAATGGCATTTTGATCATAATTTGGAACCAATCATAATGGGATAAAACAGGAATCATCAAACAATCAAATAATGTCCTACTTTATGTACTAAAATTCCTATTTTTCCTGGTTTTTATCCAGCATTATCTAACATGAATCTTAAGATGACTTTTGTTTCATCCAATTCGGATTGGTTCCAAATTTAGATCAGTCAGGAAATACAATGGTTTAGGAAGGTAAAACTGTACAGGAAAGTGAGATTGTGCCCAAAAATAAAATGAATACATTAATAATAATAAATAATTTCCAATCCAATATACATAGTGAAAGTGAAATATTAAAATATACTTGGTGCGCATGAAATATTAAGATAATCACTCAAAGGCATATGCATCTCTCCATATACAGTATGTTTCATATTTTTTTCTCTAGACTGGCAAACATGCACTTAGTCTATTAGGTTATTCATAATTAGATTAAAATGAAATTAATATAGACCTCTCCTGTGATTAGCATTTTTCAAAGTCTAGATTAATTTTTGTCATAATCTTTTAGTATTAAATATTTTAAAGTACAGAATAAAAACTTCTCACCAAATCAAGAAAAAACTTAGCACCAAATCAAAGTCAAAGTCAACATGCAGGAAACCATTTTAGGGTCATGTGACAAGGACACCATAAACCAGAAAGGACCCCTTCAGACCTTCAGGACAGTGTCAAGGTCACTTAAGATTTTTTATTTATTTATTCATTATTTAAAATCACATTTTCAACTTGTTTGAACTCAAAATTGATGTTTTCATGTCAGATGTAGAAATCCTAAAAACGAATTCATATACATGTCATGATATTTGTAAGAAATATACTTTTTTTTTTACCTTAAAAAGGAAATAATTTTTGTGCAAGGAAGTATTTCGTACTGATTGATGTATCCAACCAATATGAAAACACATTTCTTCATCTCTGACATATTTATTTGTCATTGACCCGTGCAGTTTAAATTTCTTTGTCAGCATATATGAATAAAAATCTACATCTTTACAGTAAAAATCGTTTTCCCTATTGTAGAAACTGAATTTGCTGTAAAGTTGCTTTGCAACGATTTGTATCGTGAAAAGACTATACAAATAAACTTGAATTGAATTCCCTGGATTTCTGCCACTCTACAATGTCCTAGTGTCTCATGTGCAGTGATGCAAGAAAAGCTCTTCTCTTTTCAATTACATCCTCTCATCTTTTCAGATCATAGGCTACAATGTCTGTTTGTAGCCACAGTCAGCCAAAACGCGATCAGCGCTCTACAGAACAGAAAACCCAGCGACATTCCCCGCATCACTCATTGCGACTCATTGTGATTCCCGGTTTCCAGCTTAATTGCAGTAAAGTTGGACGAGCAACTCGCCGTTATGCAGACGGAGATCCCAACGCAACCTGAACAACTTGTTGGATTGTATCGAAATAATAACAGCACAACTCTCCAACTCTTCCCACCGTTGCCATTAGAACTCCAGTCACATGAAGCGGTGAATGAACAGAGTCATTCAGCAGATCAGCAGCGCTAAAAGTGATCCTACTCACCCTCGTGCTATATATGTATCCGTACACCTCTGCTATTCCAGCAACACAGGACCCACTTTCACGTGCTGTACTCTAGTCGACCTTTTATAACGCTTTACAATGCACCAAGCACTGGGTTTTTTTAGCAATTCAGTTTGATCTGAGCTAGTTAGAAAATAAAATGAATACAATACAAATTCGTTATATTACGCTAAACTTAAAGCTTGAAATAAAATATAAAGCATAAACAGTGCAGCCTTAAACCTTGCAGTTGTCATGATGGTTTATATAGCCTACAGTAGTCTATTTTTTTTTTTATTATACAGAATTCCACGTGTTTCTAGGCTATGTAAAGATGGCTAGTTAAAATGTATATATAAACATAAACATATTTACATGATATCTGAGCAATTTAGAAAATAAAAAAATAGAAAAAAAGTAAGATTTCACAAAATTAAGTTAAGTAACTCCTATTAAAAAAAAGAAAAAAATACATATAATAACAAATGTACAACATATTCTCATGTGTCTCATTACATCTATACCTAGAATTCATTATAAGTGTTTCCCTAAGGCAAAAAGTCACCTACTAACATGCCGCTTGAGACTTTTTCGGATAAAAAATATCTCTCATCGATTTCGATTTTCGTGTGCTAATGATGTGTATGCGGTTTGCATTTACCTAACATAACCTCATGTCTTTGCCTTAAACTTTCCACTCAGGGTTTATGCAGTAGCCCCTCACTGCAGAACAAAGATCCAGGGGGCGGGGTTGGATCCACATCTAGAGGGTGGAGATGGGTGGGTTTAGGGATCAGGGGGTGGATGTTTAGATATATGTAAGGTAGGAGGAGTTGGATCTGGATCCAACCTCGCCTCCTGGATCTTGTGTTCTGCAGTGAGGTCCATCTCGCTTTATGCCAGATACTTCATCTTCATTCTGATAGACTCACCACAAGATGTCAGTATGAACGCAACAATGCGCTTGATTGCCCATCAGAGAGCAATCTCACTCATTGACAAGTCTAACGTCTGGTAAACTGGCATTGACTTGCTGTGAAAAGGAAAAGCCTATCCATAAAAACCTCCCAATACATAGCATTTTAGCGATAAATACTTAAAGGGTGACATCATGTTTTCACGTGAAGAATGACAGATCTTTTTTAAAAGATTTTGCTAAAATTAGTTACCAATAATAGATTGTAATCGCTATAAACATTCGTTAGGCTATGTCTAGTTCTAGTAGATTTGCCGGTTTGCACATGGCAGTTTACCCTGCTTGAATCTTTTTAGTGAACCGATTCAAACGATTCAAATCACTGAGTTGAATACACCTCTATAAAATGGTGTGACTGAATTACTGTTAAAGCTGTAATTGTGTATAGGTCTATTTTCTCAATCAACAACAACAACAATAATATTTTATTACTGAATTATCTTATTAAAAAAATGAATTTTAGTACACAAGTTTAAAACGAGAAACAAAACTGCCACAGCCGTTTACAGTTGATATTAAACGATTTATTGCTACAAAATATTGTCCCCCTATTAAAATAATGGAGCATCCCATAAAACCCAGTAAGTGGCATTATATGGATCCTCTTCACAGCACAGCCAACTGGATGAAAAATATATTGTAATCTTAATCCATTTTCTCAATTTCTATAAAATTCTAGCATTGACTGCTTTAATCCAGCTCAACCATTAAAACATTTTTATCAAAGTTATTGTATTGTTATTTATTTAGTTATTTTTTTGCAAGAAAATAACAAAATTATATTTTCATTTAGATGTCTCAAAAAATATATATATTAATTGTTAAAATGCAAACTGGCTTTGATCAATCTAATAATTTCCAAATGACAGCACAGAATAAGACCATAATATGTTTTCTGTAAATGCCAAAGAAACTTGTGCTTCCCGAGTTTGAAGAAATTCAGCTCTTTCTGTCAGTACCCTCATGTGTTACTCCCCCGCCCTATCAGGGTCATCAAATGACAGGGCTTTACCCCTCTGAGGTCGTGAGAAGTACGCCTGGCCAAAACATTCTATGCAATATGCTGTGGGTGTGAATATTTTTGGACTGGTCATGTTGTGGTTAATATACTTTGGTGCGTCTTAATTGTGTTTAATATGCCTGGCTGAAGTGGGGTTTGGCTTAAAAGTGAACATTATTTGTCTGTTGTTCAGATAGACGACTGGCTTTGACAAGACTCAAGACAATTGGTCTTTCATGAAGCCAGATGACCGAAAGAAATTACATTAACTTTTACAGAAACAGTAACTTACATTATGCAATTTCTCGTGCTGTCAAATATCTTTTCGTGAAATTATTCAATTTTTGTGCCAGTTCATTTAAGTAATAATATAAAGCCCCAAAATAAAGATACAAGAACAATTTAATTTAAAATATATATAAAAATATATTTAATATATGTGAATATTAAATATTATTTTATTACATTAAAGGGGTGGTTCATTGTGATTTCACTTTTTTAATTTTAGTTAGTGTGTAATGTTGCTGTTTGAGCATAAACAATATCTGCAAAGTTACGAAGCTGAAAGTTCAATGCAAACGGAGATATCGTCTTTTAAAATTCTGGCAGTTTAATGCCTACAAAAACGGCTGGTAGGGACTACAATGAGTTATTTCCCGGGTTCATGAACCGGGCTCAAACTGATAAGCGATATTAACAACGCCGTTGTTTACAGTACAACCGGAGCACATGCCGCTGAGGAGAGGGGTAGGGCGCTTAGACGTGCACTAGAGGCAGTTTAGCCAATCACAACACACTGGGCTAGCTAACCATTCAGAGCCCATCGCCTATTTCTGAGGGAGGGGCTTCATAAAAGAAGGAAATGATCAGCCCGTTTCTCAGAGAAGGGACAGAGCGTTGTGGAATAAAGGTAAATTATGTGAAAAATGATAATTTAAAAAAACGAAGCATTAACACATGTTAGACTGCACCCCATAAACACAATCAAGCCTAGAAAAAAAACAGTGAACCACCCCTTTAAATAAATTAATATAGATGAAAACAATAATGTGTTATTACCGGTATATTAATTTATTTTTTTCATATTTTAATATTAATTATATATATTTAATTTAAATATGCTCTCAATAATGTGTCCACACACTGTCCATCATGCCTTTGCTTAAAGGAATAGTTCACCCTAAAATGAAAATTACCCCATGATTTAAATGTGACCTCCATTCAAGGCTAGGAAGAGCCAAGGCATTTTTTAATAAAACACTGATTGTATCCGTCTGAAAGAAGAAAGTCATATACACCTAGGATGGCTTGAGCGTGAGTAAATCATGGGGTAATTTTCATATTTGGGTGAACTATCCCTTTAATATATGCAATTTAATAAAATAAAATGTGTGTGTGTGTATGTTAAGAGTTCAGACTGAACAGCAATACCGACTGTCATACTTTTAAGGTGACTGTATTCTAATCTAGGCAACTGTAACGTAGTGGAAGTGGCCTTGTACAAGTCCGGCCTTCTTTTCTGTAGTGTCCTGTTTCGTAGGAATGAGAGGGCGGAAACTCACCTCTAACAGTTCCCTCCCAGTTCTAAATGAAAGCCCATTGTGGAATGCACACATTCTCTTACATGCGTATACTCACACACCCTCACTCTCCCCTCACGTATGTTCATCAAGTCCTCTCTCCTTCCTGTTTTTCACAAGTTCCTGCCTTTTTACTGACGCTAGTGTCGCAGACTGGAAGGAGTTCAAGCTTCCCAGGAATCCCTTGTTTAGGATTCCTAACTAAAGGAAAGCTGAGAAGAGAGACTTGAAATCTCCCAACACATGTTTGTTATGAAGATCGAGCTGGCCATGCTTTGGAGCTTATTTCCTAGGTGTAGCTGACGTTGGGGGGTTGGAAATTTGCTTGGCATGAGGTGAAAGGGGGGTGGAAGAGGAAACCCCATTCAAACACAGATCACCCAGCACTCTGACGCGCTGAGCCGAGAGTTTTCTCTAGTCCTTGGGGAGAACTAGTTTCGCAGTCTTCTTCTGATGGAACTCCGCAGGATAAACATTCGCAGGAGTCCCAAAAAGTGCTGAAACACTTTCAGAAGATTTGGTTTAATTATGGAATCACTGAGGGAATCTATACTTCATTTAACATTTCAGATGTCAACATACAAACGGGCCACACTGGATGAAGAGGAGCTGTTGGACACCGGCTCCGATGGGATCTACCACACCTCTACCATGCAGGTGAGAGTTCATTTTTTAAAACTATTTTTATAACTTATATTTTTTGATGTATGTGTACTGAAATATGAGCCAATCCACTGAGCTAGCGATCATTTTTTAAAACCAAACTCCTCCAAAACAACAACTCTTTCGTGATTCCAGTGGAAGACAAGGACACTGTCTTAAGTTACTTCCTTGTGGTTTTCTTTTCAAACATCCGCTGTGTTTTAGCACTGTTGTATACAACTCTTTCCTCAAGCTTTTTTCAAACATTTATTTTGTGTTGTGTGAATACACTTGACATTCCTGATTACTTCTAATAAAGTACTACTTTACTACTGCTAGCTTTTTTATTTGTTAGATCCTAGTGAGATATGAAGCACAAGTAGAGCAATGTGCATAAACATTAAAGGGGTCATATGATGCTGCTAAAAAGAACATTATTTTGTGTATTTGGTGTAATGAATTTTAAACTTTAGGTAGGTGTGGCTGACTCTTAACTTTTATAAAGAATATCTCTTTGGATTTGAGACTTTAGTCTTTGCAAATTTACAGACATTCTTTATGCACCAAGAGCTTGTAACACTCCAAAGAGAAAGGAAAAAATGAAATCGCATCATATGACCCCTTTAAGAAATTATAAATTGCACTTGACCCAATAAGGCTTAATATTTGTTTATTGTTTACTTAATGAACATGTGATTAGAAAGGAAGAATTGTTTAGTGTGTACATACAAAAATGTACATTAACTGTGTAGTTTATAGTTTGATGATTTTTACTGCTGTTGTTACCGTAAGGAACTACTTCTTCCTGATCTGAACCTTTGTTGTTGTAGTCTGGTTGATTCAGTCATATCAAAGAATAAATATGACTTGAATAAAACCAGTTAATTTAGATATAACCACATGACATATTTTTAGTTTCTTTCAAAGTTTCTTTAAGAAAGTATTTCTGTTTCTATTTTTAATCAAAAATTACATTATTCTCTATCTGCTTTTTTTTCTCACTTCACATTGGTGTCCATTCTTTCATTTTTATTTAATTTAATTATTTTATTTTTTGCTAGTGAGAACCAGACGTGCATTATCCTTTAACTGCTCCTAAAATATTTTCTCTGGATCACTGTGGTTATTAAATGTTCTGGGTGCCTTTGTTAAAACCATCTCATGGTCTTTGTTCTCCCTCTGCTCTCTTTGACTCTTGAGAGACTTGGCATTAGGGCTCATTGAAGCCACGCAACACATACAAACACAGTTACACCTCATGCATCCAAACTAAGCTGAGTAATTGCACAGCTGGGCAGCTGGCCACTAAAAGTGACTTTTGAACTCTGTGGGCTCAGTAGAACTTAATCTAAGTTGTATTACAGAGATCATTTATTTAGTTTCTCTTGCACCTCTTCTGTGAAGAGGTGATCAATTATGAAATTCACAAGGCTTATTTGATCAGTACAGAATCTAAATCAAAAGTGAATCAATAAGAGGAAAAGTTTAAAGCTCAGAGTTCATTTGGAGTGAGCCGTTATCATCTTTTTATTTTTATTTTAATAACATTAAAAAATTTTTTACTGAGCTCAGACTTTTTGAATGTGTATGTGGATAGCCAGATAATTTAGCACCAGTTACACCTCATGCATCCAAACTAAGCTGAGTAATTGCACAGCTGGGCAGCTGGCCACTAAAAGTGACTTTTGAACTCTGTGGGCTCAGTAGAACTTAATCTAAGTTGTATTACAGAGATCATTTATTTAGTTTCTCTTGCACCTCTTCTGTGAAGAGGTGATCAATTATGAAATTCACAAGGCTTATTTGATCAGTACAGAATCTAAATCAAAAGTGAATCAATAAGAGGAAAAGTTTAAAGCTCAGAGTTCATTTGGAGTGAGCCGTTATCATCTTTTTATTTTTATTTTAATAACATTAAAAATGTTTTTACTGAGCTCAGACTTTTTGAATGTGTATGTGGATAGCCAGATAATTTAGCACAAGAGGTATTTGCATAGGAGGTATCTAATTTTTTAATGTTTCTTATCCAACAGTTTGAAAAGCAATGTGTTTGGCAGAACCGACTTTGCAGTGTTTCCTAGAAGAGAGCCTTCCTAGAAAGTAGGAAGTTGATCAATGTGTTGTTGAGGGTTAGTTTCTCTCCTATAAGGATTTAATACTTAACCCAATGCAGATAACTCTTAAAGGAATACATGAAGTATTCAGTAAAAATATTTTTTATTATTTGAGATAATCTTTTCAGTCCTCATTTGAGGTGGGAATGTGATCTGTACTTTGAACTGGAGCAGAAAGACAATGATGTTTGGTCCCACCAAAGTTTAATATTGTTGTTAGACACGATCATATATCATTTTCCCATGCAATATTATATAAAACCTGCACAATGTTATACAAAATGTCACATATATCACTTTCATTAAGAAACACAAAATAAACATCGCACCCTCGAGGATCAGTCCTTTGGAGTAAGTTTCAGTGTAATTTGCGTCATCTATGTAACAGTGCTCATTTTCAGGAATAGTTATTTCAATCCTAACCCTTTATTTTCTGATAACTTTGATTATCAGGTGGGGCTGCAGCGTGGTCTGGGTCTCCGGTGCTGGGCAGAGAAAACACACGTTGAGAGAAAGCTAGTGGTCATCGTGTGCGCTCTGTCCGTGGCCCTGTTCATATGCATCATGACTTTGGGTCTGCACTATAAAGAATGTGAGTTGATGGAACAGTGTATAAAGATGTTTTTTTTTTTTTAAGCTAAGACTGTATATGCTCTGGACCTCATTTTACTCACTTGCCCAACTATGACAAATCGCTGTATGAAAGAACAACAACTTTCTGTCACACTGTTTACCTCCAGTTTCCTCAGTCTCCCTCAGGCCTCTAGTTTTCTTGGCATTATCTTTTCAGATCAGGAGCTAGGGATACATCTTTTGGGCCAAATATTTTTCTTAGAAGAGCTTACAGTGAATCTATTGCAGCTGCATTCTCTCTGCGTCCACAAGCTGAATAAAAACAGTGCCCTTTAACTCCAATTATTTCCAATATTAAACATAATACTTGCATTACCTCATTCAGTGGAATCATACCCAAACTCGAGGCCAAAGTAAACACAAAGAAGTGTGTGCCTATAAAGTTTTCGTAACATGTCTGAGAACATCTTTTCACAAATTAAAATATTATATTGGTGGTTGCAAATGGCTAATGTTACTATACTGACACAAACATTAACCCTATCAGCTTGCGTATCACCCAGTTCTGCTAATGACTATACTTAATGACTTTTAATGGTTTCGACAATTAGTTTTGGTATTCGATAAAGGGAAAACACAATCTCTTGGGTTTAATCATTGTAGGCTCCACAGATCACTGCTAGAGACTCTCTTTGTGGCCTCTGCATTTGATCAGGATACTGAATAAATACAATCCTTTTCTCGGAATTCAAATTTTGGCATCAACCCTTTATAAGTGAATAGTTAAATCATTAAGAAAATATTAAATGGCTATTAGTTGTAAAATGTAAAAATATATATTTTTTAATTTAAAATTACTTAACTAATAACATCTTTATTTTTAAAATAGAAATATTTTGAATTAATAATAATAATTGTCCACAACATCCACAATTGTTTTAATTTAATTGATTTATTTTAGATTACATTTTATTTATGATTTCATAAATTTTTCATCTAATCTTTCAGTAAATACTTGCTCTGTCTCTGAAATGACTTGTATTTTTTCGATGTCATCACTTCCTCTTATTTTTCTTAATTAGAATTTGAATCCTGTATTTTCCATGGGGTCTCAGATTTATGACCCCACTGTACAAAAAAAGCAGTAATGTTCCATCTTAAAAGGTTCCTACCAACTTACAGGCTTCATTTCACTTTGCTTTGTGGTTTTATAAAGGTTCTTGTCATTTGAACTTTTCTTCATTTGTTAAATTCAGAGAATACCAGCATGAAAAGCCTGAGCAAAGCGGAACAAAAAGCCCAGTGGTATTACCAGGCTTGTATGAATGAGAGCAAAATTGAAGAGCTTGGGGCAAAACCACTTCAGGATCTCATCAATCAGGTGACCTCAGATGCACAAGCCTTTATTTAACAATATGAAACTCAAGAGGTCTGTTGTAAATATATCGGCCCTAATAAAAACCTGCTTTTACTCTTATTCTGGTATATAATTATTAATAATGTTTTTTCCAGACAGGAGGTTGGGGCTTGAAAGACCCGTGGGATAAAGATAACTTCCAGGAGGTTTTACGGATTGTGTCAGCCAGCTTCCGAACCTCCCCCTTTTTCACTGTTTTTGTCAGCACAGACTCAAAAAGCTCCAACAGCAACATCATCCAGGTGGGAACACTTTACGGTTGTTTTTTTAATCACCATAACATGAATTCTTAAATGTCTTGGGGAAACTCTGCACTGTTCTAGATATCGTATTTTGTTTTATGATGGCTGTCAGAATATATATTATAACAGGCTTTATATCATGATGCACGTCACTGTAGCTTAGCTGGTTGAGTGATGCAGTTGATGCTCTGATTCCTTTTTTCCCACAGGTGGATCAGTCAGGATTGGGACTTCCCTCTAAGGAATACTATCTCAATAAGACAGCCAATGAAAAGGTAAACAAAGAGATTTTGTTGTTCATGAAACCGGGAAATGTTCTGCTGTGGTCTAAAGCTTGTGTTGTTATTCCTTCTTCAGTATTTAAAAGCATACTTAAACTTCTTGGTGGAGCTCGGGATCCTTTTGGGCGGCTCAGAGGATACCTCTCAGAAGATGATGCAGGAGATAATAGACTTTGAAACAGCCCTGGCACACATCACAGTCCCTCAGGAAGAGCGCCGTGACGAGATGAAAATTTACCATAAAATTCAAGCCAAAGAGTTAGCTGTGAGTACTGTACGGTTACTGTACTACTTTTGGATTGAAATCTGTGGTTCTTTACTGCTTGTTCATGGCCCAGAAATAGTCACAGGTCTCTTCTGATACGGTCGTAAATGGAAATGCTAAATGCAAATAATGAAATGTATAGTTATTATAGTGGCAAAATATTACAATGGTCCAATGGTACAAATTGTTTTGTACAGAAAAAAATTGCAGTTTTTCCGTTCAGCCTAAACTACCATTCATAAGAATTTTTTTTTCATAAGATCTTCTTAATAGAAGTCTCTTATGTTCACCAAGGCAGCATTTGTTTGATCAAAAATACAGAAGAAACATTAATATTTTGAAACATTATTACGATTTAAAATAACCGTTTTCATTGTAATATATTTGTAAATGCAATTTGTCTTTGTAATGTATCTTTTTATAGTAAAAAAATTAGTCACATTATTCAGAAATCATTCTAATGTGCCAATTTTTTCCCTTTGTTGAACAGAATTCAGTATTTGAAATAGATTAATAGAAGTCTCTTATGTTCACCAAGGCAGCATTTGTTTGATCAAAAATACAGAAGAAACATTAATATTTTGAAACATTATTACGATTTAAAATAACCGTTTTCATTGTAATATATTTGTAAATGCAATTTGTCTTTGTAATGTATCTTTTTATAATAAAAATAAAAATTCAGAAATCATTCTAATGTGCCAATTTTTTCCCTTTGTTGAACAGAATTCAGTATTTGAAATAGATTTTTTGTAACAAAGTCTTTACTGTAATTTTTGATCAATTTAATTAATCCGTAATGAATAAAAGTACTAATTTATTTTTTAATTTAAAAAAAATTAATCTTACTGCCCTCCAACTTCCGAGTGGTAGTGAATGTAAGGTTGATAATGTTCGTATGACTGTGACGATTGTGATGCTATTAATGAATTTCATTGGTTGGCTTTAAGGAGACTTTTGAGACACTTTTGATGATAATTTTTGAGTCACCACTCAATGTCCAGTTGAAAATCTGGGTCTTAAAACAAAACCAGTTGAGAACCACTAATTGAAATGTCTCCTGCAAATGAGAGATGCTCTTATAAATTGTGATTATTAAAATGAGAGTGAAAATGGCAGAACATGTAGTTATGTTTCCTTTGCTGGAGACATATGAAGCATTCTTTCCTTACTCTAACTGTGGTGTTGCATGTGAGCTGGGATATCAGTCATGTGTTTGTCTGTGCTGTAGACATTGGCTCCTGCGGTAGATTGGATGCCTTTCCTCTCTGCAGTGTTCACCCCTGTTGCCCTAAATGACTCTGAACCCGTGGTTGTGTACGCTAAAGAATATCTCCAGAAAGTTTCAGAGCTCATCAGCAACACCAACAAGAGGTAAGTCAACATTAGCCAGAATTGTGTGGGTTTTTGGGCCATATATATAACAGACCTGTATTATCTGTTAGCTGAGATCAAAGCTAATGTGTCTCCACCAGTGTCTTGAATAACTACATGATCATGAAAGTGGTGCGGAAAATGGTGTCCATCTTAGACCAGAGGTTCCAAGATGCAGAGCAGCGCTTCCTTGAAGTCATGTACGGCACCAAAAAGGTGAGAAATGAAGATCAAAACTGCTGTCTTGTCAGTCCAAGGCACTGCTGCCACTGAAAGAGTCATGAATGATCCATTAAATATTAAATAACCTCTATTTTTTGTTACCCTATCTATGATACGTAATTTAATTTAGCATTAGTTGAGATTTAAAGGAGTGTTTTTGTTTTTATTGTAAATTTCAAATCAGTTAAAGGAATAGTTCACCCCTAAACATTTTTTTTCTTAACCATTTTAATTTCTTATAAAAGCACCATAAAAGTATCATAAAAGTGGTTCATATGACTTGTGCACTATATTCAAAGTCTTCTGAAATCATACAATAGCTTTGTGAATAAAATGTGAGAAATAGATACACATTTTATCCATCATTCTCTGATAATTCTCTCCTCCGCTGGATCACACTTACCGTATTACCGTGTCAGGTCCGACTTTGAATCCAAGCACCGTTGTCACTTGACTGACTGTCAAGTTTGAAAATATGAGATATGAGAGCTATGCTCTTAAAGTTGATTTAAATGTACTTGGATGTATCTTTTTTTAAATCCCAAAGGTGTCTTGTGGTTTTAGAAGACTTGAAATATACACTACTGTATTACTGTATTTTTGATTAAATCAAATGCAGCCTTAGTGAGCTTAATTAAGAGACTTTTTTGAAAAACATTTTTAAAAAACTTACCGACCCCAAACTTTTGAATGGTAGTGTAGCTCTGTAAATATATTTGTTATTAGCTTGACTGTATACACCATACAATTCATACATGGAACAGAGCATATATTATATTGGATATTGTGTTGTATTGTGCATTTTTTTGGGTGAACTACTCCTCACCACTCATTCCTCCTCTTACGAGGAACATTTGGTGCAGCAATCATTTTACATTAGAACAAAATTACCCAGATATGAAAACAGTCAGTGTGCTTAGTCAGCATGAGAGGGAAGTGATCTGTTGCCCTTTTCTTCTCCTCCCTCTCTTTGACTCTCTCTTAGAGTAACTGGTATCAGTGTTGGTGTGTATGGAGAGGCGGTGTGTTGTTCTGCAGGGAGTCAGGTTATTCAGACTCTTATCGGGAGGAGATCCTGTTGCCCCGGCCTTACTTTCCGCTGGGGTCAGGCTGAAATAACAAACAAAAGAGCCTTGGGCGATGTGTGTATGTGTGATGGGTTATGATAAGAGATGGAGAGAGGAACCTAAAGGACGGTCACCTTCAGCTTTTATTATTGCATTAAGTGTTAGTTCACCCAAAAAATTAAAAATCCTGTCATTAATTACTCACCCCCATGTTGTTCCAAAGCGGTGTGACTTTCTTCTGAGGAATAAAAATATAGATTTTAGGGAGAACGTTGACAAAAAGTACCATAAAAATATTGTAAAAGTAGTCCATGCAATGTATGTGCTGGATTCAGAGTCTTTTGAAGTCAGACGAATGCTTAAAATACCTCAATTAAGCCATTATTCACTGATAATCTTCACATCTGTTGTCATCATTTACTCAACCTCTTGTTGTTTCAAACCTGTATGACTTATTTCATTTTCACTTAATGACTAATTTCCTTAACAATCTAAAACTTCATTTTACCCTCATAGTCTTGCATTAGGAGCTATTAGCCATTATCTCCAGAGCCTCAGTATCTAAACAAGAAATGGGAAGTGGAATGGATGTCCTGTTGCTGCCTGTCTCTGAGCGTCATACTGAAGGAACCTTCAAGAGAACAATCAAATGTCTTGTTTTGCTGATAAAGTAGAAAAAACCTTCTGTTTAGCTCGTTACAAGCAAATTTGTTATGTATTTAACAAATGATTTGTGCTCATTTCCTCAAGTGCTAGTAGGTCCTATGCTGTACACATGGAAACTAGACTGTATTTATCTGTAGAAGTTCATGCCTAGATGTACCTGTAAATTGTTTGTGAAATGTCACACTAAGAAGGCTTCAGTGCAAATGAGGATGCTAGTTGTTAATATATCACCTTTGTGTTTTCCAGAGCTGCACGCCACGCTGGAAACTTTGCGTCAGCGACACGGACAGCGCTCTGGGCTTTGCTCTCGGGGCGCTCTTTGTCAAAGCTACTTTTTCTGAAGACAGCAAAGCTTTTGTGAGTGTCTTGTGATGTTTTGCACACCATCCCCGTCTTTTCCTCAAAGCTTATAAACTATATTCTCAACTGATGTGTTTGTCAGGTTGAAGATATGGTCTCTGAGATCAAATGGGCCTTTGAAGACAGCCTGAAGACTGTCGGCTGGATGGATCCCAAGACAAAAAAAGCAGCTAAAGAAAAGGTGAGAACCAACAGCACAATCCCACAAAATGTTTTTCGCTGCTGTTGCCTGCAGGGATGGATCTTGCTGAAAACAACACCTAGCTAAAATGTCAGACAATTCCCAATTTGTATTAGCTTTAGTTTTAGAATTGGTGGTTGTTTATCAATTTCATTGCTTTGCCTGGTGGACAATAAATTTGGCTAAACAAAAAAAAATCTTGTTGAGTAACAAAACTACATAAAGGTTTTTATTCTTGTTGATGCTCCTTAATGCCACCTGGTGTTAAAGTATAAACTGCCACTCATGATGTTTATTTTCTTATTCTTGTCTAGGCAGATGCAATATACAACATGGTTGGTTATCCAAAATTTATTATGAAACCCAAAGAGCTGGACATGGTGTTTAATGACGTATGTATACATTTTCTTGATTTCTGTTTGGTTTTGGTTCATGGAAAATAATGTTGTTCAATGTTGTAGAGAGCCTGAACTAACGTCTCGGCCTTCAAACTGTATATCAGTTTGATGTTGTTTCAGATCTTTACTTTCAAAACGTCATGAATTATTACAACTTCTCTGCACGAGTCACTGCTAACCAGCTGAGAAAAGCCCCCAACAGAGATCAGTGAGTATCAGTCCAGCTCACACACAAGATGATGCTTTGCTTAAACATCTGAACATCTCTTAAAGGGATAGTTCACCCAAAAATGAAAATTATTTTAACATTTACCAATGTTATTTTAGTATTATTTATACCATACTATAGTCATGTTTCATATTTTTAATTAGCTCTTAATTTTATATTTTAGTATTTTTAAAAATGTGCTTTTGTTATTTATTTATTTTTCGATTTAGCTGTATTTCATTTTAATTTCAGTGTCAGTTTTAGTCATTTGAGTACTTCAATTTAAACTTATTTATTTCAGTTATTTGCCAAGGTGTCATTTCTCATTTTTCTTACGTTTTTAAAGTTTAAATGAAAGTATTCATCTGAAATATTCATAAATAATAATAATTTTTAGTTACCGAAAACTATTTGTAATAGTTATTGTTTTAGTTTTAGATTTAGTTAACAATAACAACACTGTCATTTACTCACCCTCATGTTGTTCCAAACCTGTGTGACTTTCGTTTTTCTGTGAAATATAAAAGAACACAATTTATTTCAGTTATTTGCCAAGGTGTCATTTCTCATTTTTCTTACGTTTTTAAAGTTTAAATGAAAGTATTCATCTAAAAATTATTATTATTTATGAATATTTCAGTTACCGAAAACTATTTGTAATAGTTATTGTTTTAGTTTTAGATTTAGTTAACAATAACAACACTGTCATTTACTCACCCTCATGTTGTTCCAAACCTGTGTGATTTTCGTTTTTCTGTGAAATATAAAAGAACACGGAAGCCACTCTGCCTGCCCTTGGAATGACCAATCATCAGCTGTTTTTTGTGGGATTTGCTCAGGTTTGTGCCAATATTTGCTCACTATGTTTTCCACAACTACTCCCCGGGCGCCGGAGCAAAACTGGCTGTTTGTTCACTACTCACTGCTGTGTGTGTGCACTTGGATGGGTTAAGTGCAGAGCATGGGCTACACGTCATGGCACTTTCACGTTTAGTTGTTTTACTGGCCACAACCTTAGCAAACTAAAGGTATCTGTCTTTTGTCTCTGTTTTTGAACTCTTTGCTAAGGCAAGAATTAATATTACTGTTTCTCACACTTTGATTTGAACATTTTTCTTGGATGTGGATTGTTGAAGAAAGGTGTGCTTAGCCTACATTACACAATTTTCACCTGGTAGACAAAAATAAATAAATAACTGTTTTAACGAAAACTAAAATGAAAACCTAAAAAATTATCAAATACCTTTTAACTTAAATATTTTAAGTAAAATACACATTTTAAATAAAATACATTTTCTTAAATTATTATCTAAATGATCTAAAAACAATATCAATAATTTTTTTTTAGCCATAAAATATTGAAATTTAGTTTTTGATACATTGTGTATTATAATACTTTAGATCTTTGTTAAACATGAAAATGCAACTAGATCGAAAAAAACAGACTGTTAAAAAAAAAAGAACTGGGAATTTTTTTTTTATACATTTAAACTAAAATAATTTATGACTCAAACTATGACTATAAAAACTAATATTTTATAAGATATTTGATTTTATTTTTTGATTCAATGTATAGCAAAAAAAATAGATGGGAATAACTGGATTGTTAACTAAAAAAATTTTTTTATTTATTATATTGGGGTCTAAAATACCTTTAAACTGAAAGATAAAATAGGAAAAAAACATTTGTAACTGTAAGACTCACAGCACCGTAGCATCGGGGCAATGACTTTTGCACAGACAAAAACCACTTATCACTTTTCCAAAAACATAATGCAATCTTTTTTTGTTCTATTATGATCTAACACAACTTTTTGTTTCCTTTTTTTGTAGGTGTGGTGCTCAGTTCGGACACCTGAAAGCTCTCACGAGGGCGTTATTACTGACCCCCACAGTCCGTCACGTTTCCGGGTCATTGGCACCATCTCCAATTCCCATGAGTTCTCTGCGCACTTTGGCTGCAAGGCAGACTCACCCATGAACCCCAAGCAGAAGTGTGAGATGTGGTGACAGTGACTCTTACATGGGGGACTGAACCTGGAGCTGTTATCGCTCAAAATCCCAAACATCCATCTCAGGTTGCCTAATCTAGACTGCCAAAAAAGCTGGAGGATTTATAGTGGACTACACATTTTCCAGCTATTATTTGCCTCTTAATGGGGAATTGGTATAAATAGTGACTCCATGGAAGTCTATATAATGGAGTTTTATTCTTACATTCAAAACACTGGAAGTTAGTGGTTAAATATAATGAGAGAAGGACTTGTCCTTTTCTTTGAATATGTGCCTTTTTAGCAAGCGCTTTTATTTTTCTATTAGAAAATAATATTTATGTTCTCTGTATTACGTTGTTGGTGGGATTTTTAGTTTTTGGTCTGTAATGTTTGGCAATTCTTTGGCAAATTCTTCACATTGTTAAATAACTTTGCTCACATTTTGATACATGGTTAAGTTTTATACAAGACCGTTTCATCACATCATGTTTGTTTGAAAAATAATTCAATTTTATTATCCATCTCACAATGTCATTTAATGTCAAATGAAGAATATATATATGTGAGCAGTATGCACACTTCTACTGGATTTGCTGTCGTTAGACCACTATTCAAGAAAGTGCCTTTAAAACTATGCAAATACTTGCAGGGAAAATATTTGTATTTCACTCTAAAACTGAGGTGCATGGGCTCAGATCACTGAGGCCTACAATAAATCAGTTCCAAAAAGCATGACCAAACCTGTGCTAATTGAAAGAAAACAGGTTGACAAAAAGAATGAATTCAAGCTTTGGTGATAATACAGCATAATGAGAAATTTACAAGCTTTTTTTTTTAAAAAGGCTGGTAATTTTTGATTGGGAACATTAAATTAGGTAAAGGATTTTCAGCACATCACAGAGGTTAATATTTATATTGCTCATTGTTAGTTCATGTTAGCAAATGCATTAGCTGGTGCTAACGAACTGTAACTTTTTTTTGTTTGTTTAATATTATGTTGAGATAGACTAGAGCAGTGCTTCCCAAACCTGTCCTGGTCTGGAGGACCCCCTGCCCTGCACCATTTGTATGTCTCCCTTATCTAACACACCTGATTCCACTCATCAGCTCGTTAGTAGAGACTGCAAGAACTAAATTGGGTGTCTGATTAGGGAGACATACAAAATGTGCAGGGCAGGGGGTCCTCCAGGACAGGTTTGGGAAGCACTGGACTAGAGGGTTTGAAATACTGAGCACCCACTGTTATGCATTTTTAACCCCGACAGATGTCGCCACATTCACGTGTATTAATGGCAACAGAAATGCCTGCTAAAAAGCAAGCTAATGTTCTTATTATTAGGCCCCTACCATATATAATCCCAATATACAAATGCTACTTCACAACATAGGCACCCGTATCTAATCAACTCGATAAGCCTTTATCAAAGATAGGTAACATTTGAAGTAGTCGTTCTCCTGCAACCAAAATTTGGGCGGGACCCCTTTTAAAAGGTGAAACCGCAGTTTTATATTCAGTGATAATATACTGCGTATAATGACTCATTCGTTTCATGCTGATTGATGGCTTGGAATGTAACGGAGAAGCCATTCATTGTGTGAAACAGTGCAGGCATGTGGCGGCCGCGACTGCCTTTATGACGTCACTTTCACTGGCGTATTGCGATGTCCGATTCGCGAACGATTCGTTCTTTTTGGATCGTGTGAATGAACCGGTTCACAAAACCGGACTGAATCGTTCCAAGTGTTTCTCGAGTCGTCAACTCACCGAATCATAAACTGAAATGACAAATAAAATGTACTGGGAATATTTTTATGATTTGACTGTTTTACAGATTTATCAACACACATAGAGAAGCAGAGCTGGACTGAATAAATCGAGAAAAAAAAATTCCCCCCAAACAAATAATGTTGCATATTTATTTTATATTACGGTTCTAAATTACTAGTTTTAATTAGCTCCATTTTGGAGCGTCTTTTTTACTACATAAACATTATACATGCATTTCCGTTCATATATAATAATAATTTTATATAATAATATATTATTATTATTACATAATCATAATTCAAGAGTTCAAACGGGTATAAAAGATTAAATAAATAATTTTAAGCTCTCACAAACTTTGTTAGGGACGGCGTGAGGTCGCAATGTTAAATAACCACTGAATCATTTTATGAACCGCATCTTTGAAACTAACTGTTCAAAAGAACCGATTCCTGGAAATGTGTCGGACTTGCCACCACTACGAAGTGGCGTAAGGTGAACCCGAGTGTCTCCGAACTCGCCCGACGTTTACCGAGCCGTCCGTCCAGCAGGACTGCTGGAAGCAGCAGCAACAACGCCATGTTGAGCGAAGTCTCCCATCTTTATGAGATATTCCTATAATGCGACTCATTAATGTGATGTTACTACGCAAAGCGGAGTAAACAAACCCGGAGACGGCCATCTGAGGAGGCGGAGAAGAACAATTCAACCGGGGAGATCCAGGGTGGCTGGAGGGGGATACAAACCCCCTACCGTCCCCATGCATAGAGCAGCTACAACCCCCGACTTCAAAGATAAAATGACATTTTTGGTACTAACCGCCAGATTTGAATGAAATCCATGGCATAAGGATATAGACACGTTCCGGCCTTCGTAGAGAGAAGAAACGGCCAGATATTGTTGGAACGTGAGATCGTTTTCAGCTGCGTATTGTTTGTTTTGGTTTAAATTTCTGCAATGAGTTTGCCACCGAAAGTGGTCCCGAAACCGGCCGCTGTCGTTGTTAGTGGACATGTAACCGGACCGGCACCGCCAACGCAACTCCGCGCACCGCTGACCTCCGTGTCGTTACCACCGGGAGCCCAGAGCGCTCCTCCGCCGTCAGCCGTGCCGCCTACCCAGTATCCTTCACTAATAACAAAGCCCCTTGTGTCCCACAACACAGAGCAATGGGGAAACGAATGGGCATTTCGCTTTGTAATCACATCACCTGGCTTGTTATTTGTTTACCTGATTATAATGATGAAATTACTAATATAAGATTGCATTATTTCATATTAATATACTATAATCGTTGCCTGGGGTGTGCATCAATTATATGGAAGGGATTTACTTCTTTGGTGTCTGTTGTTGTTTTTTGCTGGTCCTCTTGGCACTTGCTTTGTTCATGGAATTTGACAATCCCAGCTTTGTGCACAGGGTCCATTACAGTTTCAGATAACTCCCAATCTGTGCATGTTCGTATTAGTTACCTGCTGCATTTTCTCGGTTTATGATCAAATGCTTTTTCTAAAGAACATGTGCTCTAAGGCTATATCTCACAAGTCAAAAGTGACCTGAATGGCATTTGTACAGTTGCTAGGGTGTTGTTGCTGGTTGCTAGGGCAGGAATAGGAAGTTGCTTTTGTGTTATGAATGGCTGCATGTTGGCTTGAGCCAACTGCAAGTTTATAAAATATTATTTTCTGGAGATATGGTCCCTGTGATCCAGTTTCAGTGTAGGTTTATGGGATTTTTTTCATCTTGTTTATCTGTTTATAAGGGCAAACAACTACATCTGTGGTTATCCTTTAGGGGAATTGACATTGTATATGTGCTACTATCACTTTGGGACAAGCTGGTTAAAATGAGTTACAAAAAAATGGAAAAGAGGTTAGTTTAGAGAAAGTCTAGTGTTATTTGTTCACACATGCCAATCTGATTATCTAGCCTATGCAAAGACATTATTCATACACTGAGAGTGTCGTAAGTACACTAATATTTTATTTAATATCTGGGAATAATCAAGAAACTGCTCGTATTTCAAGCTGATTTACTGTCATATACACTCTTAAAAATAAAGGTGCTTCAAAAGGTTCTTCAAGCGATGCCATAGAAGAACCACTTTTGGTTCCACAAAGAACCATTCAGTCAAAGGTTCTTTAAAGAACCATCTCTTTCTTACCTTTTTATAATCTGAAGAACCTTTTTACGCTCCAAAGAACCTTTTGTGAAACAGAAAGGTTCTTCAGATGTTAAAGGTTCTTTATGGAACCATTTAGACAAAAAGATTCTTCTATGGCATCGTGAAGCACCTTTATTTTTAAGAGTGTATCGAGACATTTCTTCCAACAACAGAATAGAAAACACCAACAGATATGATGCTATGTCATTCTCGTCTGCTTTTGAAAGTAAATCACGTGACATGAAAGCATTGTTCACTAGTGTGAGTCAGGCTAAATGTATGATAGGAATCTCAGCCTCATTTGACGTGATGTTAAGTAATCAGTCAAGCAAAGGCTGTTTAGACACAGTCAAGCTAAGTAATTGAGCAATCGGCGTACTGCAAATCTGGGTCATCCTCTTGAGCTCTCTGAGAATTTCCAAGAAGTTCTCCAAGTCTGAGCTATGATTTGCTGAAGAAGATTTAAAGGTGAATTGTGTTGTTTTTACACAACTAGTGTCACCAAACAGAACTGTACAAATAATGAAGGTTTTCAAACAGACTTAAAGGGATAGTTCACCCAAAAATGAACATTCTGTCATTACAAACCTGTATGACTTTCTGTCTTCTCCCGGACACCATATTTTAAGGAATATTTCAGCGGTTTTTGTCCATATTTTGACAATCTGTGCGTATCTGTCAAATATTGCCGTATTTAGTTGAGTGAAACTTAATTTGATATTCCTCAGGCGTTTTCTGATAATCATTTTCTGTTAATTTAACGTCTCATTCAAAGCACTGATGACATCCAGTTTGTTTCACATTTCAATCAAAAGGAAAATCTGCAACACTTACAGTATACACACTATATGTTTGATTATTTTTGTAACTATGGATATGCATGCACTGATTTGGCACATGTAAGCTCTTCCTTAATAGCTTAATGTGGCATAGTGACTGCTCTCTTTTTCATGGGACCTAATCATTTAATCGTAAAGACTTGCAGTGTGGTCCAAAAGTCTGAGACAACAATCAAGTATAAAACTGGGAATAATGTTTTAGAAAATGCAATTAATATGAGAACAAATCAATTAGATCAAACTTTTGCCATTAACCATGCAAACTGCTTTGTACAAATGTCAGATGTTCTTGGTCTTGCTTCTATTAAAGTTCAGGATGCTCTAAAATCACATTGGATAATGTAATCATCAAGTTTAGACATTTCAGGTCGAGTCACTGCTAAATACTAAGAAAAACCTCAGAATTGTTTTTCTTTTTAAATTGGACTCAAATTGTCACTCTGAAATAATACAAATATTAATGCAATAAATATATATTTCTCAATATTTTTTAGAAATTTGACAATATTCTATATATATATCTCAATATTTTTGCAATAAATCACTTTACATTGTTCACACTTCCACACTGAACAAAAACTCTTGATGTTGAGAGCATTGTTCAATGGATTCTGACTCAATAAAACTGGGAATAATGTTTTAGAAAATGCAATTAATATGAGAACAAATCAATTAGATCAAACTTTTGCCATTAACCATGCAAACTGCTTTGTACAAATGTCAGATGTTCTTGGTCTTGCTTCTATTAAAGTTCAGGATGCTCTAAAATCACATTGGATAATGTAATCATCAAGTTTAGACATTTCAGGTCGAGTCACTGCTAAATACTAAGAAAAACCTCAGAATTGTTTTTCTTTTTAAATTGGACTCAAATTGTCACTCTGAAATAATACAAATATTAATGCAATAAATATATATTTCTCAATATTTTTTAGAATTTTGACAATATTCTATATATATATATCTCAATATTTTTGCAATAAATCACTTTACATTGTTCACACTTCCACACTGAACAAAAACTCTTGATGTTGAGAGCATTGTTCAATGGATTCTGACTCCCTTAAAGACCTCTAATTTGCCATTATGTTCATGTGCTCGACAGACATATTTTTGATTGGCTGTAATGCTAAACGCTTCAAAAACAAGCTGTAAATAGAAACCTTCACAGAGTGCACACACAAATACGCACAGGTGCGTTTGATAGCAGCCAAACTGCATCTTTGACATTGTCATACTTGTTAGACAAAAAAAAGAAGTAAACTTTGCTGACTGTCTTTAGAAAACTAAGTTAAACTTTTAACATTATCACAAAATTCACGATATTCCCTCCCCTCGTCAAAGATATCACAGTAATATTGCCAGTAATTAATGCCCAGCCCTAATTACATATATTAAATTGAAATAGAAGCATTTGCTTAGACACTTGGGACCTGGTTTTCTTTAAACTGATGGTTTTGATAGGCTTTGTTTGCTTACCCCGTAGAAAGTTCAGATTAAGTAGAGTGTTTTTCAAACTTCTTATTTTTCATAGATTTTGTTTGGCCTCCCCTGTTCAGAACTTTCCAACCAGTTTCAGACTACAGTCTCTATCACAAAGGTTTTATAACTGTCACAATGATTTGTTATTGCTTTGTAATTGGAAATCGTATTATATCAGCTCAGGCTGTTCAGCGGTGATCGACATCGACCACAAACCTCAGCAAAAACATGTGGCCGTACAAATGAATTATTGTGTGCACACATGGTTACATTTATATTGCATAGCAATGATTACATCACTTGATGCATATCAGTGTTTTTCAGTTGTAGAGTGTTCATGATTGCATAAATCGCAATTACGACCCCTTCCTGTGCTCAGGAGTCACTGTATTGCTTCATCTAACAGAGAAAATCGTCCTAGTGGACGGGATTCCTACTCGGGGGATGTGCCTTTGGTGATGATGCTGCGTCGAGAGCATGTGTAAGGCGGAGGGGGGTTGGGGTGTTGGAGGGAGTGGTTGCCAGAGCGACGGGTAACATATGCGACTGGCGCTGCACCCCTCAGACAATGGCAGCGCTGCTTAGCATTCAGAGTGTGAGGCTTCCCACCACCTGCCAACAATCGCCTAGGTCACATAGAGTCTCTCACACACACGGCCTGCCACAACCCCAAACCTCTCAACGCAGCCCCTTTCTTAGTTCCAACACATCTTATCACCTGCTTTTCCCCTTTTCATCATGTTGCACACTGTACAATCAACCCTGAATGCTTATCAGGTAAATGAGAAACAAGGAGGAATAAAGATCTCTTGTTCTTACTCATTCTTATAAGCAAAGTAGGTAATTTTCTTTTATCTGATTTCAGTTTAATGCGTAGAAATAACTAAAAGTAAGCTGTTTGTAGTGGGCTATGATGTTACTCTACGTAATTTGACGTGTCAACTTCTGGCTCAGCCAATTCCATGAGTTTGGGGCGGGACTACTGGGAAACCTGTTTGAACACATTTTTTCTGTGTTCAACGTCAGAAACTGGTCAAACGTTTGGGCTTTGAAGTATTAATAACCCTTCTAATTCTATGATAATAGTGTAGTTTAAACCACAACTATAACGATAATGATGACACAGGAACGATATCGTTGGAATCACTTTCAGAACTATTATTTTTCAGCTGATTAACGATAAAAACATTGACAGCCAATCAGAATCTTTCCTGCTTTAAAGAGCTCGACCATTTAAAGGTGACATATAAACAGTTCTTTTAATAAACAGCATTATGTGGAAGCTAATATAATTATTGTTCTCGGTGTGAACGGGCCTTAAAACCACTATTATGAATGAGGTTCAATTTTGATTTCATGTTAACTATCAGGTGCAGTGTTGTCTCTGCACTAGCAGATGTTACCAAAGGAAATTGAAAAAATAAATAGCCTAAGGTCTGTCAAACGCTCCATATGCCATTGGTCAGACAAACAGGTAACCCTGCCCCAAACTCGCGCCATTGGTTAAGCCATTGTTGCTGGTCGGGATAGTCAAACAAACAGCAATGTTTTCATAGCACCACAGAACTGCAGTGTTTCTGTTTTTGGGGAGGTTCAAACTACTAACTGCTACTAATGTCTTACTTAAATTTGTCTTTGCATATCAAGCATTGAACGATGATGCTTTACCTTTAAGTTTTCTCAACTGTCAGAGTTGTGGTGTTGGCCGCAGTCTTGCTGCAGTATTGTACAGTGTACATGAACTGCATTTCATGAATTTGACATATGCTCTGTGACCATATTCCTCAAATAATGCATACATATATATGTATGTATGTGTGTGTCTCTCTCTCTATATATATATATATGTATATATATGTATGTATGTATGTATGTATATGTATGTATGTGTATATGTGTATATATATGTATGTATGTATGTATATATATATGTGTATATGTGTATATATATGTGTATATGTGTATATATATGTATGTATGTATATATATATATATATATATATATGTGTCATTGTCTCCAGATGGGGGCCATAGGGTTCAGATCCTCATGTGAGATGTGATCATAGAACACAGTCCTGAAAATCATGAGCACAGTCTGACTTGAGGTTCATGTTAGCAAGGAATAAATCTCTTTTGAGTTCTCTCTGTGTGTGTGTGTGTCTGTCTCTCTCTCTCTCTCTCTCTCTCTCTCTCTCTCTCTCTCTCTCTGTCTCTTTTTTCCTCTCTCTCTCTCCTCTGTAG